TTCTTTCTGTAATTTTTATACTTTCAAACACTACTAGTTCATATTTTTTCTTAAATAGCGCTGCCATGTATGTTGTTTGTTAGGTTATTATTTCATTTTAGATATGAATATGGGAAGTTATTAGATTTAGGTATATTTTTTATCACATTTATTAAATAATTTATACTGTCTTTCATTTGCGCATCTTGGAGATATAAAAGTTAATGGTTATATTTTTTTACTGTTAAACGCGAATAAATTTATTTATACTTGAGTTCAAGTAAAATACTAATTATGTTACCTTAAAAACCGCTTCCTAATTTATCATGACAGGGGCAATTTTCAATGTCTCTGAGATTTAACAGAAATAAATGTGATAGTGCTGTTATCAGAAACGCTCTTTTTTTTACCCACATATATATCTTTACTTTTATTTATGTCTAATTGAGTTTTGTTTACTTAAAACCTGCTATTAATGTTATATATTTATAATAACCACTTTCATAATGACTCTCACTTAAGATGGAAAATTGATCAAATCTTAAATAATCGTAACTTATAATTTAAGTTATTTAAAAAATATAGTTTACTGTACTGAAAAAGTACTGAAAATAATTAAGGCTATTATTAATTACGCATATTTAGTCTAAAGAGAAATCTAAAAACTTTAATTACTGAAAATAGTTAAGGCTATTATTAACTATGCATATTTAGTCTAAAAAGAAAAAATTGTATTATCTTCTGGTTTCAAGGAAATGATAAAGTATTTAAACTTTAGAAAAATACAAAAAATACAAAAATTTTAAAAAGAAGAAAAATATATTAATTATTAAGCTTATTTTCCTGCATAAATCAATATGTAACACAAGGACATAATAACGGCATTTTCACAACTGTCGCAAAAAGGTGAAATTTTGCGACCATTTAGGCGTCTTTAAGACGTCGTGATACGATGCTTTCACAACCAAAATATCACCTGCGAAAGACGCAATAACGACACGTCTATGCGACAAAAAACCTCATCTGCAAAGACGTACTAAAGACGTCTTTGTAATGGTTGCAAAACAGTGGATGTTCACGGACAGCTGGGCGTCTTAAAGACGACATATTGCAACGTTTTTGCAACGACATCCGCGACGAGTTTGCAACGTCCTTATGACGTTGCTGTGCTACTTGGGCATTTACCACCACTTGTGGCTAAGTAACGTAACAGAAAAATAAGATGTACAATCACAATAAAGTAATATAGGCTACATGACTGGCTCCTTCGTTATCTAAACCGCTAAATCGGCTACACACAGCAAAGCCGAACGTAGCGTATCAATAGAATATAAACAGGTGCTTAAATTATATTATCAATATAATCTACGCATCAACTATTCATGTGCAAAGCTACTTCAAACACGTGGCATAAATTCGGAGCTAACTTTCCTACCAAGAACTCTTAAAACCGCTACTTAAGTATTGTTCTTAACTCACTTAGATTTGCATACGCGTCATTAAAATATACTTTCTGGCAGGAAACTGAAATGAGAAGGGAAAAGAAAGTCTTAGAAACTAAAAATAATAGGTTAGAATAAAGTAAGCTCTTTACAATATGACTAAATAGAGTGAATTAAAAATAAGAATATATATATATATAAGTGTATAAGGTAATTATTTTAATTAACCAGTTATTTACAATTGCAGGCTTTTCGTATAACTTCTCCTTTCTGTTTCCTCATCAGAAATGTAAATGAGATTTTGGATTGTAAGGCAGAGCGTGTTTCTGCCCCTCGAGGACACGTTATTTAGTGTTGACAGCTCTGATAAGATTGAAATTATTCGGCTTTCGTTATAGCTGTCTTCATTGAAATTGTTACGCTGGTGATATGTGCCGACTTAAGATTAAATTCAATTGTGTAGTCTTTGGCCACTAGGGCAGAGGTTCTCAACCGGTGGTACGCAAGATAAAAATAGGTGGTACGCAAAGAAGTAAAGTATTTTTAACTATTAAATTCAAAAATTAAAACCCCAACATCCAGATTGAGTTTTTTTTCTAACACTCGTAAATTTATGCGATCTGAGCTTTGTTCAAGAGTGGTGGTGGTAGTAGTACTTTGTAGTGCTGGTACTAAAGGTTTTCAATTTTTGTTTAGATGGTACGCATTAGTCAAACGTTGAGAACCGCTGTACTAGGGTAAGTTTTAAATTTGAATTTGATTGTTACTTTAAGTTACATCAATACAAATGGTGGTTGATCTTGTCAAGCACGAGAAGTGGGTTTATGTTCAAGTTTTTTTTTAAATAATAAAAAAATGATTATTTTAAAGCCTTTCAAAGACTTTGTATTTAATTCCAGACACAGCGATAATTCACTCTGTGTCTCCCAAAGAAATATAACTTGTAACAGACCTATTTAAGTGTAATTGAACTATTTTATTCATGTCATGAACTGTAACCGAACTATTTTATTTAAACGCCATCTCGTGGCGATATGAAAAAAACGTCAGTCGACCTCCAGCCGCCATGATGATAGCTTAATATGTTATGTTATTCTCAATGTTTGATGTTCCATTTGGTATATGTTTCATTTTTATGTATATTTCTTTTGCTTGTAATGGGCGCCAATTTGATGTAGCCGTTCCTCAATAGACACTAATGCCGGCTAGCTTTAAAAGGATTTATTAACAGAGCACACAGGAACGGTTACAAACAAAAGAAATATACATAAAAATGAAACATATAGCAAATGGAACATCAAACATTTGAATAACATAACATAATATAGTAAACTATCATCATGGCGGCTGGAGGTCGACTGACGTTTTTTTTCATATCGCCACGAGATGGCGTTTAAATAAAATAGTTCGGTTACAGTTCATGACATGAATAAAATAGTTCAATTACACTTAAATAGGTCTGTTACAAACTTTATTAAAATATTATATCTCATTTTAATCTTAGAAAAATATTTATAAATATGGAAGAAGGATATTATACGTTTTTGTAATATTTTGTACATATAGAAATAACTGTATGAAATTATAATTATTTGTGATAAAAAACTTTAAAGTGGACTTTAAACTCTTAGAATTACTTTATTAAAAAGGAAAGAAAATTTGAAAGAAACGGGAAAAGGAAGGAAAAAATAATGATTGAAGTAATGTTGGGTATTTTTGGAAGTTACATTATATTAATAATTTCCATGCTTTAATTTCCGACGTAATAATTTTTCATACAAGAAAAGAGGAGGCTATAATACTTTATTTATTTATTATTATTACTACATATGATGTTCTGTTTGTATGAGCAAAAATGTATAACTTAACCATGAACTGAAAATTTCTTTAGAAAATTTATTGCTTAGTTAATGAATTGCAGCATACGTCTCTTTGATCTGCTGCATTTACTCATAAAAGAGGGAAAAAAATCTTGATTACAGTTAAAAAGCTTAAGAGTAACTAAACATATATCCAATCCCATATACGCTACTATTACTATTAGCCAGTAAAATTAAAGGTAGTAATAACTCTCTCTGTTGAGAAAAATGAAAAAAAAAATCTTGTTAATTTGTAACTTTCGAAATGAAAGAATTTTCTTCTAAAGCTTGCTTTTATGTAATGAACACGTAGTCCTCGAAGTCTCAAAACCAACTGTTTTGTAATTAGGATTTGAAAATATTAAAAATCCCACACACGCTTAATTCCATTACATATTAGTTTATCCATGATGCAAATAAAGATTTGAAATCTTGACGATTGCCTGTTATTTGAAACACACTGACGTTACTATACACAAATCTGTAAATATTTTAAGACTGGACAATAGCTGCAATAGAATCGGTAAAGATAAATAAACAATAGCATTTGAGAGGTTTATTGCGTGGATATAATGATGACACTGCAGACAGACATGGCCATAGGTACACCATATAATTTTATTACTGCACAACTAATTCTTGAAACACATATTCTGTCTCATTCACATATCATTATGGGTGCGATAAGCACCCCCACAATTTTGTATAGCTTAGCACATCTTTAGACAATTGACAACACAGAGAAACGAGCGACGCATGTTAGCAGCAGTAAAACAAGGCGGGGAAGCAGATAAATTAAAATGAGAATAAAAGGGACTATTGCCAAATTAAAGTTATTAGATTTTTCACATTTTTAGTTGTCGGGTAATAAAATAATGTTATGTATCCGCGGCCACGTCTACCTGTAGTGTCATTTTTATAGCTACGGAATAAACCTCTCCAAGTCTATCACAGCCATACCTCTCTACCAAATCTGTTACAGCTATCGGCCAGTCTCAAGATATTACATTTATATTACATATATGTGTATCAAAATTATACATAACAAATACACAAGAATAAAATGTAACTTAATGATTACATTTTTTGTTATTTACCTTTATTTACTTTAATTATTAACTTCTTTGATATACAAATCCTAGCACACAGCATTAGCATGCAGTAAATCTGACATGGTTCGGAGCTTCTAGGGAACAGAATTTTTAATTTTATGGCCTAATTTTATTTTTATTATTTTTTAATTTAAAACTTTTCTCCTCCATAAATGTCTTATTTGGCACATATTTTAATTTATACTTTGTTTACATTTTATACTATTTTGCTTAAACTGGACATACCTAATTAGTTTCTTTTACGTTTTTTTTTTTTTTTTTTTTTTTTTTTTTTGTAATCTGTGCAAAGTTTAATTAGCCTGTACAGTTGACAGTTTTTCAGGTTGCAATGATTATCTGAATGAACGGCGAGTTTCTAGTGTAATGTGATCCCAAAAGTTGAAAGATTTAACCACAGACACACTTAATGCAAGATATAAATAATTAAAGCAAAAGGGAAACAAAATTTTTCGTCTGCCTGAATTTTCAAAATTAAGCATTTCAAAGAGTAAGCAAAATCAGCATTTCATGAATCAGCGTTAAGGCCAAGCGATATTAGATAACACTATCACTAGTTGTACAACAATATTAAGAACATTTCTTCTGGTACAAAATAGTTAATATCTTACCAGCTTGGACTTTCTCTTGGGAAACATTCCTTGTCCGTGGCCATTCTGTTTCATCTTCCCGTTGGTAAAATTTCACTGTTGAAAGATAACGAATTGAATGAAGTCATTTTCCAGCCGACAATTTGTTCACTCACCGGGCGTGATAAGGATGCTTGGGTGTAGTACCATGTATACAATTCTCACCCTTCGGTTTTGGCCACAAATTTTTATCACAGATGTTTGGAACTGATAGAGAAGGCAGCGAAGGCGAGCAGCCTGACCTTTCACACCGATAACCTCTTCAAGCTGTCCACGAGCTACCAACTACGATCATTGAGCACAACAAACCCATAAGTATTTCAGTTTGCTAACAACTAAGTGACGTGTTTTCCGAAAAAGCTGAATTTATTTTGTTTTTTATAGCGTCGAATACTTATTACCTGAATTCGTTCTGTTGACGTTATATTCAGTTTATATTCTAATTCTTTACATAATTCGCGCCACGTCGTTAAGCTACGTTGTTTTGCTAAAATATTACCGTACACAACAATTGTCACTCTGCACACTGTTAACTATTCTGACCGCGAAATAATTGACATTTTACGTTACAGAAAGTCGTTAATTTTTCTTTTAAATTATTGCAACACATTTTTTATCAATAATGCAAATGATTTAAAAATATTAAATGAACTTCTTAAAGTTTTCGGTGTTATTTTTTTATCGTTCTTATTATAACAATACACTGCTTATCAGGAAAAAAGGAATATTTGAAAACAATTCGTGCAAATTTAACATAATTAAGTCAACTGTAATCTACGACAAGCGGCCATATCATAGCATATCATAAGAAACAAAACTAAATTGGATAAATAGTAATGTTGCTTATACTGTCGATATTTGATTTACAAATAATCGCGATCGATCAAAAATTCTTTGCATTCGATTGGTTCTAAATACTTGACTTTTATTATAAATATCAAATATAAATTATCTGCAAACATTCGTTTATAATATACAAAGATATAGCCGTTAAGACAATAGCAAAGAAATTTTGAGCGATTGCAACTTTCGGGTAACACGTTTTATAGATCAAAAACAAATGTATCGCAAAATATAAATGCAGTTTAATTAATAATTATGATTTAATGCCAGCTTACACTCAATTCTTATCTATTTTTTGCATAAAAGGTCGATCCCAATAATAAGAGATCCGCCTCTGTTCGACATAACATATCGAATTAATTTTGCATTATAAGTGCAATTAAAAAAGGAAGTTTTGGATGTTATAAATTACATCATTCTGCTATAAAATGTTCGCTTGCTTACATATAGCGTACACGTGTTATTTATGTTACTATGTGAAATTCATTGCAAACTGTTGAAAGAAAAAAATTAAATAAAATGTAACTTTTAAAACCTTCAAAGAATAAAGCCTTATAAAATAATTGTAGTTAATATGAATTTGATTTATTTATAACACATTAATCGCATTTACTTTTTTAGTATACTGTATTTCTCAAAGCGTTCACATTCAAATTATGTATAGGTTCTCGAACGTAATTCTGAAGAAGTTATTACTCCAAAAACAAATTCATTTGAACATAGCCTAGTATATACCGCGTTACATATCTCACAGCTTGTTTATGTTATCTGAGGTCAAAGTAGTGGTCGGGGGTCAAATTCTTCGATGTCCATGTCGTAAAATGTGGTGACACCGCTGTTTTGATATCTTCGTCTTTTCGAAGTCTGTAGGTAACTCTGTGTTCCTCGAGAGCTCGTAAAAGTCACCTGATATGACACCTGATGCCAAATTCGAATTCTAAGGAGGATCGGCCAGAGTCTTCCCCACTCCCCCCCCCAATATTACAAGAACTCCTGAATCGAAGCAGCTGTATGTGAGGGACATATATCACAGAGAAACAACGTACCTATTCGAAACAGCGTGAGATGATGACGTCAGATGACAGCTTGTTTTAATTTTATACCACTGAACAAAGCACAGCTGGATTACCAATCATCATTTTACCAATAGACAGAATGGTGTTAAGTTTTCTGTTTCATAGAGAACTGGGATGATATGTTTTCGTTGAATTATTAACACGTTTAACTTATATGGGCCGTCAACACTACTGATCACCTACGGGGCCAAAAATGTTGGCCTGTTCGCATGTTACGACTCGGAGATTAAATGATGAAATGATACCTCATCTCTAATAAAAATGCTTTCCAAGAAATGCTACCCTTGGAAAACACACTTCTGCAGGAATGAAAAGAGTATATTAATTTTCTCTGTTTTCGGAGTCTTGAAAAAGGTTTTCCGGAGCCCAGTGTACATGCATCTTAACGAAATTCGAACTGAGCAGGTATATGGATACTATTCCAAGTGTTAAACTTAAGTCATGGGCTTAATCGCTCACAGTCAATCTTCTGTTTTTCAGTATCAAAAGTTCTCAAAATGTATCAAACTGACGTCACCTTTTATTGTGACGAGAATGTCAAAACAGAGGCGATATGCTGTTTTGAAGTCCTTGTCACTACAGTTTCGAGGCCCCGCGGTAAGGTTTTCGAAGGCACTTTATTACAGCTATGGGGTTTAGAAGAAAAGTCTTAACCATCTAGAGCTGAAAAAGTGGACCCGAAATAATTATCCATAGTTAAAAATTTAGTTTTACTTAAAAGTGTAAAGGCCAAGTGACACCTGAAGATTTTAGATGTTTCTCTCAAAATAAATTTTTTAAATCATGCATCTATAAGTTACACGCGTACTGCGCTATTTCTTTTCACACTGCAGGAATAAACTTTCGGCTGCATACGAAAAAAATAAGAACAGATTGCTTTTGGATTAATTTTAAAATATGTATTGCAGTTCTGCAACATGGCTTTGCGGCATTAGGTTTGCGATGTAATTTTTAAAAAAATGCGTTCATCATTATTTATGATTCTTACATTTAAAAGTTAGACTGTCATTTAGACTAACAGCGTTCACTTAAGTCACGAGAAAGCTGTGAAAAGGTCGCATGTTAACATGGTTTCATTTTTCAAAAATATACTATCAAATTTTGATTTACTGACGACTGAGGAAGATGCTGCATCATTCTTCCAAGAAATTTTTTTCCAGGAAATTCAAAGAAGGCATTTTATCGCTCATTCAAAAGCGCGCAAACGGCCACCAAATGAAACTACATATGAGTAAAAGCAACGTGAAAATTTGCAAGCGAGCGAAAAGCATACGTTCCGGAAACTGGTTCGGTGGTTCTAGAATATCTTTTTTGACAACGCTATGGTAAATTTATTACTGGACAAAGGAATTGACGTCAATTAAGTAGACTCAAACTTTCCAAAAATACGACTGAAGAAGATAACAGCTGTGAATAGACCGCATTTTGTATTTTCCTTTTAAAAAAAAGTTAGCAATTTTTTTTGATTGAAAAAGATCCTGCATCATTCCTCAAGAAAGAGGCATTCTGCTTCATTTCATAGGAACTTGATGATATTCTTGGTGTTATTATCATGGAGGCTGTGAGTTATAGTACAGAGCAAGTGTTTGTTATGCCTATGCTATGAATCACCGAGTAAATAAAGAACAAGCCTATACAGTATTTAATTTTTTTATTAATGAAGTTAATTACCATAAAATTTTTCCAAATATGTGGTGACGTAAATATTAGAAACTGATGACATACTATTACGGAATTAATGAAGTGAATATATATTTCAGGCAATTTACTTTCAGGCAATCTCATTTACAATAAATTACTTTTATTGTACTGCAAATTCATAGCTTAGATATAAAAAAATTTGTTCTGTACTAATTTACGGCCTCTCTCATAAAAACAGCAAGAACATCTAAAAGTTCTTATGAAATAAAGCAGAATGCCTCTTTCTGGAGGAATGATACAGCATCTTCCTTAGTCAAAAAATCAAAATTACTTTTATTGTAAGCAAATGAACATATCATGCACATCCATCTAAATTAATGGTAGGGCATTTTTTTTTAAAATATACTGCTCTTATTTATCTTCCTGCATTATTAAATCATGGAAAGCATTAAAAAACACAAAAATTTACCAGCTCGAATCATTTTCATTGACTTTCAAAGAACAATAAGTGACCAGAACAAATAGTGTTCCTGATAACTGAAATCCAGATAACTTGCGTTGTACTATACTTCAAAATCTAAGTTTAATCTAATATTCTTTTAATCTAATGGTCAGAAATGTTGTACTGTCACAATGTATCGAAAATAATGTCAGTTGATACAGAGCATATTCGAAAGATAAAGAAACATTTCTTTAATAATTGAAGAATTTGCGCTTCAGAATTTTTATAAGCATCCTTCAACATAAAATATAAAACATCTGAAAGATTTGCTGCTACATCTATCTACACTTATATCACTGATTACGCTGATATCTGCTGACGTCCAATTATCGAATCTGAATGGATAACAAACTCCTACTGAAATTAAGTCATTTTAACGCGCTTCGGAAAGACTTGGGAAGAAAGCATTACGTAAGAAAAAAATGTTCGCTTTTTCGATTTAAAAATTCGTTAGCCATACATTAATGTCAGATCTTCTAACATAATTACTAAATCACATAATTGAATAAAAAGAAAAGCAATAATTGCTTTAACTGCAGAAAAGGAATAGTTCCTGAAAAAAGCATGGCAGAGATAAATTCCAGATTTACATTTCTATAAAATGGCTCGTTTATTAAACTTACATATATTACCCTTTACCGCCCTTTGTCGAGTTTTTTGCATAAGCTGTATTGCTGGGTCTCAGAATTTCTTGCAGTTATCCAATTCACTCGTTCTAAAAAGTTCATGAAGCAGTGGTATTTTATGACATATTTTAAATCTACTTATGTAGAATATTACATAACCTCCAGTTGGGAAATAATTAAGTGTGAAACAAAGCAATATTAAAATAACATAAAGAGAAACCAAACTTTTACTCGTACTTTTTTATTTTTTGAAATAAGCACATTTAGAAAGATTTTACATTTTACTTTTCATTTCTGATAGAAAGTGGATTATCCAAAGTATTTTCGAAAATTAACGCAACAATTATTTTAAATTCATTAAGTAGAAAACTTCAGAAAGTAACTTTTGATGAAAAAACCCGAAAATCAATCCTTTTCTTTATTTGCACATTTTTAAACTGAGCACTGTAAGCACATATTTCACATCCATAGCGAGAAATGAAATCTTTTTTTAATGGTTATGCACAATATAAATCATCTAATTTCAATGGCACGTTACAGTAACCTATTCAAGTCTGTCATTTCACCCCCCGCGTATAATTTGCACTGACCACCATAACCGTCTGGGAAACTGAATATTGTTCAATCGGGGCCTGATAAAGGCACATGCGACATAGGATGCCGATTTTCTGAGGACACCACTAAAAG